AGAGACAGACCGATAGATAAACAGATAGAAAGAAAAAGAAAGAAAGAAAGAAAGAAAGAAAGAAAGAAAGAAAGAAAGAAAGAAAGAAAGAAAGGGAAGGAGATATTTTTCTGCAACTTGCTTCCTCCTTTTTGGAGGCTGTAATTCTGACCCCACAATTACAGTACCATTAAGCGAGAACAAATGTATATTCCATTATAGAGAAGGCTTTTGGGGGGTTTTCAATTTTCTCTTGCCAGACTTCAGGAGGGAAAGGCCCACTTCCCAAATGACTTATTCAGACCAGACCCAGTGAAGCTGAGAAAATATGCCAGCCGTTATTTACAAAGAAACCCGTTTGGGGAATGAAAAAATAGAACCGAGACTCACATTTTGTGGCCCTGCGGCTTCTTTGCCTTGCAGAAGATCTTCTTGGATTTCGTCGGCATCGAGATGGTGTTCCACGCAAAAGCTCTGGAGGTTTATTCCCAAGCATTCCAAACCCTGGAAAATTATGATTCAGAAAAAGATTTTGAGGTAACAAGCGGTGGGAGGACACAGAGACTCGGTGGGGTCCATTGGTGGGTCAACATTTGCCCCAAAGAGAAGCCATTCTGCTTTGCATTGTTCTTGACTGGATTCTTTTTTTTTTAAGGTAGTTCTCGACTTACAAACTGTTCATTTAGTGACTGCTCAAAGTTACAAAGTCACTGGAAAAAGAGACTTACGACCCGTCTTTCACACTTAACGACCGTTGTAGCATCCCTGCAGTCACCTGAATAAAATTCAGGTGGTTGGCAACTGTCTCATACTTATGACCGTCCCACAATCATGCGATCCTCTTTCATGATCTTCTGACACACAAAGTCGATGGGGGGGAGCCTGATTCACTTAACGACCGTGCGACTCACTTAACAACCGCAGGGATTCACTTAACGACGGTGGCAAGGAAGGTCGTGAAATGGGGCAGGCCTCACTGAACAAAGGCCTCCCTTAATGACAGAGGCTCTGGGCTCAATTGTGGTTGTAAGTCGAGGATTCCTGTATGTGACCCCTCTCTAAGAGGGGCAAGGGGTTGTACGATGGGGATCCCCCCCCCACTCATTTTATCTTCAGAAGAAGCTAGGAGAGACCTTGCGTTTCTCATCCAAAGCTGCTCCGTGAAGTTAGACCATAGTCTCAGAGGGCTGGAAAGGGACCTCGGAGGTCTTCTAGTCCAGCCTCTCCTTGAGCAGGAGACTTTATAGTTATAGGTCAATATAGCCAAACTATTAAGCTTTATTGGGTGTTTTTTAANGGGGCAATATGCTGACTCTGTAAACCGCTTAGAGAGGGCTGAAAGCCCTATGAAGCGGTATATAAGTCTAACTGCTATTGCTATAGCTATTGCTATCATGGCTTGTCCAATGGACAACACTCAAATCAAACTGCAGTTCACGATAATTGCAATAATCCAGCTACAGAGTGAGTGAGAGAGAGCTTAGCAGGATTAAAGTGACATTTGATCCAGAACTCGCTTAAGCTTCTGTCTCAAACCAGACGTATAAAATTACTCCAGTAATGCTAAGAATTGGAAATGTGTGCTGTGATCCTTTCACTCCAAAATAAAGATGGGGCAACTCTTATCAATATTCTAAGAACGAGCCAGAATCGTCCAAAGTGATGTTGAAATCAAACGGCTTCCCTATAGGATGTGTGAGGAAGCTCCTTGTGAAGCCCTCAAAAGGCCCAGCTGTTGGATGTCCTCAGAAGGAAGATCAAGCTTTTGACCCAACACAGACAGAGACGGGTCTAAGGGCCTTGAGATCCTTCCTTGCACCAAATTTTGGGCACTCATCTAAAAGGTTTGCCGCCCCTGTACTAGGAAAACCTGTTCCTCTTATATCTTGTTCCGTACCATTGATGGGGAAAGAGGTGATGATGTGACGCACCTTCCCCATAAATATCTCCCTGGGTTCCAGGCAACCATCTCACCCATGTTCCACCCCTTTTTGTTCCAGGTTGAGTCTCAAGCACACAAAGCTTCATTGGACGCGAGCCGGACCACTCAACAGCTTGAAGAGACCGTAGATGAATTCCAGAAGCAGAAGTTGAAAGATATCCAGGTAAATCTGTTTAGGTGCTGCTTCAAAAGCTTTTAAGACTCTTAAATCATTTGTGCCTTTGGTGAAGATTAAGATCCCGTTTCCCCCTCCCCCCCAAAATGAAAGCATGTTCAGGTGGGGATGGGTACAACCTTGTGAAAATGCACAATATAAAGAGAGCAACAGAGAGAGCAATTTTTTAAACAGACCCATCATACGTAGCTGTATTTTAAAATTGTAAATTCCATCAAGCAAACAGATCTAGAGGAATCCTATTTGCTGAAAATTATTATCATTTTTTTAAAATTCTTGATTAAGAGCGCCCAACTCCAAAATTACTCTGGGCAGCTTATACAACATCAAATATTCCCTTTCATTGTCTTCTGCAAAGGATTAGAATGGAACATAATATAATGCAACAAAAACACTATGATAGACCGCAGTGGGAAGTCTCGCGTAAAAACAGAGAAAAGCCCATATTGCTATTATTAACCTAAACGTATTGACCTAATCATAAATACCGCAATGGTGGGTTATTACTGGATTTGACTATTGCTGGAAAAGATGAATAAAAAAAATTCAATATTCAGCTTCACTTCTTTTAAACCAACAGAAAGTAGTGCAGCTGCTAAAGGAAACCGGGTCTTGTCAATTGGCAAGTTTGAAATTGCAAAGGGGAACATTGAAAATAAATATACATGTCTGATGTAGCACTGGGATGCAGGGAGGGAGGGAGGGAGAGAGAGGATGGATAGATAGATGGATGGATAGATGGATAAACAGAGAAAGACAGAGAGACAGACTGATAGATAAACAGATAGAAAGAAAAAGAAAGAAAGAAGAAAGAAAGAAAGAAAGAAAGAAAGAAAGAAAGANCTTTCTTTCACATCACGGTTGCCTAAAACCTTCTGTCTGCCTACATGGTCATCCTTCTGCCATCTTCACCATCATATTCTCAGGAGCAGGAAAAACAGCCTCCTTCCATCCCTTTCTCACAGATCCTGGAATACCGATTCCAGTTTTTCAGCCACATCCCTCTTGGTTCCTTCCTCCAGAGAGGAACAGCTGGGCTCGGTCTTCAGGGACAAAACCGGTGCCCCCCCCGTAATTCCCAAAAGACCATGCAGGGAGCATCCAGCCTTTCTGGAAACCCCAGAGAAAGCTTCGGCCGTGGGCTTTGAATCTGCTCGCTCTGGGATCCGTTCCCATGTTTTGACAAAGTCTGTAGACGGCCAGATGGAGCCACACGCCCACACAATTACAGCCCCTCATTTCCTTTTCTTCAAAATGTGGTTATGCTTTCCTTTCACCAAATGTTTCCCCTCTCCAAGAGATGGAAGCAGTCAACCTGAGCATCTGGGGAGACTGTTTTGCCAGGGTCTCAATGACCCAGCTGTGCTCCAACCTTCATACTATCCTTGATCTGGATGATCTGCCCACCTTCTACTCCTTCTTCCGCCTCCCCCATCCCACAAATGTCTCCGCCTGTTGTTTCTCCACCTAAACTCAACGGGCAAGCCTTCCTGTGATGGATTCTGTGACAGATTTATGGACATGGCTGCCCCCTAGTGTTGACGTTACTGAATGGCCAAGCCCTTCTGTAACTTCTCTTTGCTTGAGAAATGTTATCCGTTTTAGTTCAGAAGAGACCAGTTCAAAAGCAGCGTTACCCCCCAAAAAAGGGGGGGACTTAGAACAATGCTACTAGACTGTTTCTGATCTAGTCTTCCTTCCTCTCCTGAAAGAATCAGCCTTACCAGCCACCTGAAAGCGGCACCACGCTGCAAAGCAGGATGTATGATTTTGTTCTAAAGAAAACATTTATTTTAGCGATGGCTTAGCCCAGCCTTGGTAAGACGGACTTCATCGCAGCCAGAACTGATACTGTGAAAGAGCTTTCGCTACTCAAAACGTTCTGTTTCCTGATCAGTGTTTTGCCTTGACGATCATCTTCAGTCACAGGTAAGGGGTTTCTTTTCTTGTAGAAGACCACCAAAGACCCAGCAGTATTGTTAAAATGAAGACACGGAGGGAGACCCTTGACACAAGAGACGTTCTCCAGAATAAATCTCCACTAGACACAGTGTTCCAGAAAGGTGTATTCAGAAAGAGAAATTCAACTATTTCGTTTTGAAAATGCTTTTCCAATAAGGAGACATGCCAAAAGACCCCCCCAAATAAGGCAGGATGCTGCAATTCCTCCGTAATTAATCCCCCTTCCAATAAGGAGACATGTCAAAAGACCCTCAAATGAGGCAGGATGCTGCAATTCCTCCGTAATTAATCCCCCTTCCAATAAGGAGACATGTCAAAAGACCCTCAAATGAGGCAGGATGCTGCAATTCCTCCGTAATTAATCCCCCTTCCAATAAGGAGACATGTCAAAAGACCCTCAAATGAGGCAGGATGCTGCAATTCCTCCGTAATTAATCCCCCTTCCAATAAGGAGACATGTCAAAAGACCCTCAAATGAGGCAGGATGCTGC